ACATGATGGTGTGTGTGCACACACACACACACACACACACACACACACGCATGAGTGCATGTACACGTGTGTATGCGTATGTGTGGAGGCCAGAGGTCAACCTTGAGTGTTGTTTTCGATGCCATCCTCTTATATTTTTGAGCAGGGTCTTTCACTGGCCAACCACCAACTCACCAACCAGGCTAGGATGAGTAGTAATTAAGCTCTAGGAAGCAATCGAAACTCACCAACCAGGCTAGGATGAGTAGTAATTAAGCTCTAGGAAGCAATCTATTCCCCACCTCCCCAGGACAGGGAAGGCAAGTATGGGCCACCCAGCATTTTAAAGTGGGGACCAAGGTTGTCAAGCACCACAGACTGAGCTGTACCCCAGGCCCACAGCCCTGGTGTTAAGATAAACCTTCGAGACTACTGACCTCCTAGAGCTGTACTGAGTATCTGGTTCCCATAAGCATCCTGTTACGTGGTCCTTCTCATCACCTCTCTCTACAGAGCCCCTGACCAGTGCCTAGACCCTTACCTCCTGCTGCTGTAAAACGATGAAAACAAATTCTCCAGTGTTGAGTCCCAGGTTCTCTGCAGCCTGCAGAATGCTTTTTGTGTCCTCTGAGCTGCATATTAGAACAATAACTAGAAGAAGGAAAAACGGAGTCAGCCCATTGCTCATGCTCACATAGGCACGTGTGTGGGTCATACATCGCCCCCCCCCCCGCAACACACAGTCTTTTTTATGTCTAAAATAAGACCACCCCAAACAAGACACAGTCTTCTTATATCTTTTAATATGCTTCAGGGAAGAGGCATGCCTAGGCTGTTGTAGGACAGTCTATCTAAACTAAGCCTATGACACACAAGTTGCCAACTAATCTTGGCTACAGTCTTCCGCCACCACAATGTACAACTCCACAAAGTTTGAGATCATTTTTATGCCTTGATTTTATTTGACTGACAGCAAAATCAACAACTCATCAGCTGTGTATCAATTAAGAGGAAGGCAAATGGACCCGGAGTCAAGGACATTTGGCCATTCTGAGTTGGGATGTGGGGAAATGGCCACGCTGCTTTGCTCTTTTGTATTCAGGAACACTATCATTCATTTTGAAGTCACACAAATGACAGTTTAGCTTTTGGATGAGCTATTGTCTTCCTCTAAATCTTCAAGTGTGACAGGCACTGTGTGTGAGCAGGACAGAATGGGCCCCACTGTCGGGGAGGGCATTGTTTTTCATCACTCTCACACAGATGCCCTGGAGAAAGGCTCTGGGTTCACAGTTTCAGAGAGCTCGGTCCATGGTCTCCTAAGCCCCATGTTGATATGGAACATCACAGGGGTGTGAGCACATGGAGGAGCAGACGGTTCACTTCACGGTAGACAGGAAGGAGAGGATGAGGAAGAGTTGGGACCAGGTGTAACCCCCAAACACACTCCCAGTGACCTGCTTTCTGAAGCCAGGCCCCATTCCCTAAAGCAGTGAGTCTTAATCTGTGGGTCTCACCCCTTTGGGGGTTGAACCCTTTCACAGAGGTCACCTAAGACATTTACATTAGGACTCATAACAGTAGCAAAATCACAGTTATGAAGTAGCAATGAAAGTTTTATGGTGGGGGTCACTACAGCATGAGGAAGTGTGCTATAGCATTACAAAGGTTGAGAACCACTGTCCTAAAGATTCCAGAGCCTCCTGAAATAGTCACCAGGTGGAGACCAAGCACTGGGCACATGAGTCTACAGAGGACATCTTTGGAGTCCTAGACAGAGTGGAGAGATTAGGGGAAGACTGAACACTCACCAGAGAGGCAGGGATCTGATCCCAGTTTTGGAGGGGGATTCAGAGAAGTCCTCCCAGAGGAAGGGGACTTTGGGCTGTGCCTGGGTGGCTGAGGGACAGCTCCTGTGAGTGGCCATGGGTGTCACTCTGAGGACAATCATTTGGCAATCCCAGTGTCCCAAGGCCATGAAGAATGAGTTCACTGGGAACACGGAGTCAGTGACAGATACAGGCATTCTCAGCAGCACAGTTGATGTCTGTCACCTGGATGTGGCACTAAGCCCTTCCCACATATGACCCTACTTAGTCCCAACCTTCCCTGGAGAGAACTATGACGGTTGACTCTATGTAATAGAGAAAGTGTCCAAGGCACAGAGAGGTTAGGATTCTTGCCATGGACACACAGCTAGAAAGTGGGAAGACTGAAATAAAAAACTAAGTGCTTCTGTCTGCAAAGCCCATATTCTCTATGAACCAATAAATTCCAGGACCTAGATTACCAGTAATATGCTTCTAGAACTTACTCTGTGCAGCACAACACTAAAACAACCAGGAGTTCATATCATATATATATACATACATAAAAAACTGCTTTAATGTATTATTAATTTTATACCTTTTTTCTACCTACCTTTTATACTTATAGGAAAGTAAGTATAAAGACAAAAAGTCCAAAGCT